CTGCCAAGCAAAGCTAACATATTTGATCATGACCAGGTCAGGTAGTGACTATCTGATGTCCGGGACAGTTGACTGATCTGTCACTATGTTTCCATCCACCTATTTTTATGTGCATTTTGGAATATCTCATAAAAAAACGCTGGATGGAAATGCCAAGATGCGCATAAATTCTACAAATACGTATAAAAACCGAATGCGCACAATTGAGCAGGATAATTGTTTTATCCTATATATTTTATCCTTATAAACTACGATGGAAACACATTTACAGAATAAATTCCACCATGCGCATCAAAAAAGTCATGTGACTTTGCGCGATGGGACGGAAAAACATGACTAACCAGTGGACCGATTTCCGATCTGCTTGAAATCCTTGACCTTTCCTAGTGGGTACCCTTGCGAAAAAGAAGTTTATTCAAGTGTGCTATTAGTATACTTCTTTTAAACTTAAAATAGGAAAGTATACTTTTAGTCTACTTTTTATGTACTTCTCAGAAATGGGCTTTATGTACTTCTCAGAAATATACTTAAAATGACATTTAAGTATACTTGACTTATACTTAGGAAAAAGTCTAAATATATTTTAGCTATAATTGTGCTCCTAGAATCCGTGTTTTCATTGTTATACTGTAGGGGGGTATACCTATAAGTTCACTTTTAGTATAGTTGCACTACGAGCTAAAAACATTGATGAAACTACTTGTGTACTCAAAGTTTACTACTGTTATACTTAAAAGTATACTTTTATATACTAGAAAGTGGGCCAATTTAGTCCCAAGTAGTATTGAAATAGTACACTTACAAGTATACTACTAGTACACTGATATTTGTATACTTACTACATAAAGTATACTTAAAAATATACTTGAACTTTACTTAAGTATACTTAATAAAATAAACTTGAAGTATACTACTTTTTGGTAAGGGTATACGCGTATACCTGCGTATCACGTAGACTACACCACTGGTCTGCATTATAAGCGAGCTTCACGCTACACAGTTAACACAGGAATTGTCACTTGCACAATTGAAACAGTGTTGCATCGTCACTAAAGTTTATAAATTGCATTTCTTTTTCATTCTTGCCAGTGTTTAAACCATTCAGCGCTCGCACGCTCTTCTGGAGACGGTGCGCTCATGCACACTTGCAGCGCACACACATAATGCCGGGTTCACATTATGCCTGTTTCACATATACTCAGTCTGCAGTGCGTATGCGGTCCGTGTGCGTTACGTATGCAGTGCAGAAGCTGCACGGACTCATTGTGCTTTCACACAGGACGCTTTTGCAGTCCGCTACTTATCCGCGGCTGTTTAGGCTACAAACACAACATTTATTTCAAATCATGTAAATAAAAATTAAAAGAAGACGCTTTTTCAGCATTGTGATACTCTTTTATCACAGTACAGTAACAATATTTCATAGAAATTAGTTTAAACTCAATAAATATAAACAATGTATTATTCATGCATTTGACTTCTAGGTTTGTATAATAAGTTGCTTAAGCAAGTAGCAACACATTTAAACACAGCATACAGCCTACTTTTCTTACATTAAAGCTATCACAAATATTTTAAATTAAATCTCACCACTGACAGAAACTGTCGACTCTCATGCCTTTTCTTTTGCATTTAAATCTTTATTACAAGCAATCCCACGGGTCTTAAAGAACTTAGATTTTCTACCACCACAAGTGCATCTATTATGTTGCCTTGTTTATCTAAAAGTGCACTTTTCCTTGTTTCTTGTTTT